AAGACTTATTAAAACAGCTAAAATGTCTATGAGAATCGTCTGGAAAGCTCTAAACATGTTGCAAGGGAAACTTGGTCCATAATAAACGATCTTCGAAATCAAACTAACACAGCTCAAACATTTTCTCTTCCAAACCCTGAGAATCTAAATGAATACTTCGTTAATGTGAGTAAAAATATAACACCAGCTATTTTGCCACAAGAAGATCCTATTTCCTATCTTCCCAATTCAGTCTCGAATTCATTCTTTATAAGATTGGTTGATAAACCTGATCTTATTAAAACAGTCAGTATTATGAAAATCAAATCTTCCTCTAGTACTTACTGATAAACTATTCATAAAAAATTTCTTAAATCTCCCAAAAAATGTGCTGGGAGTCCTGGTCTCACTAATTAACGATTCCTTTAAAAAAGGTATATTTCCAGAGTGCCTAAAGACAGTCATTATTATTCATCTTCATAAGGGTGGTGAAAAATCGAATGTTATGCAACTATAGGCCTATTACCTTACTACCGGTTCTATCCAAAATTATTGAGAGACTTATAAAAGCCCGACTTCTGTCCTTTCTTGTTGAAAACAAAATTTTATCACAAAGTCTTTTTATCTAAAAAATGTACCAGCGAAGCTATGTTTTTTGTACTACATGAGGTATATCAAGCACTTAACAATAATCTTTATACTGCCACTATTTTTTGTGACTATGCCAAAGCTTTTGATTGTTTAAATCGCGACATTTTGATAAAAAAAAATTAAATTTCTACGGAATTGGAGGTATGTCTTTGAATTGCTTTCAATCATACTTGAGGAATAGGAAACAACTAGTTAGAGCAAATAATACTGACTCTAGTCTTAAAAGCATTGTATGTGAAGTACCACAAGGTTCAGTACTGGGTCCTCCACTTTTCCTTATCTTTATAAATAACATCACTAACTTAAAGATCGATGGAAAATTTTTTCTTTTTGCTGATGATACCAGTATTACCTCGAGGAATTCTAATATTGCAACTCTTCGTGCAATTATAACTTTTGATCTACTGAAAATAAAAACCTGATCCGACTCTAATTTACTCTCTTTTAACGTGGATAAGACAGTAGCATTATCCTATAAAGGAGTTCTGAAGCTATGTTCTTGTGGCATTTTAAATTAATTACTATCTAAAGGGGAATAAGCCACAATTAAAGGTTTATTGATGTTTCAATTTCCACATTTTAAGCAGCAGCTTAAAATTATTCGTAAACTAGTTCGTAAGGTTTTATTATGCAATTTGCAATTTAGTGAAATTTTGCAATGGATTGTATATTTTATTATGTTTTATTTTGTGATATTGACGATTTATGTAATTTTAGTAAATTTTAATGGTTATTATTATATTTTTTACTTTTTGTAAGATTTGTCCATAAAATTGTACAATTTTCAATGACAATAAAGCATATTTCTATTCTAACATATTCAAGATTTTTCAATAGGGGTTCAAATTTAGAATTTACTCTTACGTTCACAGATAAATTTCATCAAGTAATCATTAGAGATGCCACTTTGGAACAGGATCTGTTCTTTTCGAAACAGGTTGTTATTTGGAACAGGTTGGAACAGATATTGATCAATAAGTTTTCCTGTTCCAATATAACAGTTTTTATCACACAACAGACCAGTGTATTTACAATTACTTCAGAGACCGGTGTTGCATTGCTGTGCTTTTATATGGTTGTTGCAGTTCCAGTTTAGTGGAAAGTAGGTATGTGCATGCGCCTAAACCATGATTAGTAAACTGTGAATTGTCGACTCGCGACAAAACTTCAAGCTTTCAAAATATACAACCACAAATACTATGGTCTATTGTTAATGCAACAACCTTTCTGGAACAAATCGAACCGGTACTGAAACAACTCATAACACAGTGTTAGACTTGGAACAGTTTGGAACTGAAGCAGTTTTTTTGAAACAGATAATTTTTAGAACTGAAACAGGTTGTAACAGTTGTTGAAAAATCCCTGTTTCAACCATCCCTTGTAATCATACATACATGTCGTGTTAAGAGATATAATAGGTAACACATATTATGAGGTGAGAAAATGTTTTATTTCGAGTCGAAAATTTTAGTACTTGCTAAATGCAGAGAGAAACATGCATGTGCAAACTTCATATTGATTAAGGTTTTTTCGAGATACTCTATAGTTTTTAAATAAGTATATATTTGAAACTAAAGACTGTTAATTCCATATAAACATAATATAACAGTTCAAGAACTTTTTTAGTATGATATTAGACTGTAATATTCTAGTCTGGCGTTTTATTCCATATTTAAGATTACTATTGTTATGTTTGCATAGGTAAGCACAGTCTCCATGAGCAATCAAATGACAATGGCAATAGGTTGGTAAACCTAGCAAGATCACTTAACATGGTGATTGCCAGCACATACTTCGCTCGAAAAGATATACACAAAGGCACCTGGAAATCACCAGACGGACTTACAGTGAATATGATAGATCATGTTATTGTAGACTCAAGACACCAATCGAATATAATAAACGTCCGTACCAGAAGAGGAGAAAATGCGGATTCTGATCACTACCTGGTCAAAAGTAGGATAAGGGCTAGAATTTCAAACATCAAAAAGGAAAGAGGCTCTTAACATGAACGATAAAATATAGAAGGACTCAAAGAAACAAACAAAAATAGAGAGTACAAAGAAAATATAAGTATCAAACTAGAAAACAGACTAAAACATAAAAACCTAAATGAGGAGTGGGAAGACTGCAGAAAAATCATAAAAGAAACAGCTAAAGAGGTGTTGGGCATGGAAGGTAAAGAAAGAAGAACAAGAACGAATCACTGGTTTGACGAAGAATGTCAAACTATAACAGAAAGAAAAAACAGAGCATATCTACAGATGCAACAGAGGCACAGAACCCGACAAGCAGAAGAAGAATATAAACAACTACGTAAAGAAGAAAAGAAAATTCACCGAAGAAAGAAGAGAGAATATATCAACAAAGAACTTCAAGAACTACAAGAACTAAGTAAACCAACAGAGACAAGAAAATTTTACCAGAAACTCAACAAAAGCAGAAAAGAGTTCAAACCGAGAACAACGATGTGTAAAGATAAGGAGGGTAATATATTGACAGAACAGCAAGAGATACTTAGAAGATGGACAGAACATTTTAAGGAAAAGCTTGGGGTGAATAGGACGGAGATGAACCCTGATATACCGTTATACCAAGCAGACAACAGAGAAAAGAGTCCACCAACAATAGCAGAGATTAGAACAGCAGTGGACAAATTAAAGAACAATAAATGAGCTGATAAGAAAGATATGGTTGAATAAACAGCTACCAAAGGAGTGGAATGGCGGCATTATTGTACACTACATAAAAGGAAACCAGTTAGAATGTGAAAACTACCGTGGAATCACGCTGTTGAATGCGGCATACAAAATAATGTCCAACGTAATGTATGAAAGACTTAGACCAGACGCTGAAAAAATAGTTGGCAAATACCAATGTGGCTTCTGTAGACAGAAGTCAACAATAGACCAGATATTTGTTCTGCGACAGATCCTTGAAAAAACAAGTGAATATAACATCGACACACATCATCTCTTCATAGACTTCGAAAGCGCATATGACAATATAAACCTAGAATTCCTAACAAAAGCAATGAAAGAATTTAATATACCAACACAGCTAATAGAATTGATAAAAAAAAACACTAAAAGTAGAAAGTAAAATCCGGATACAAAACGAATTAACGGAAACAATAGATGTGAAGAACACAACAGTTAATACCCGAGGAACAATAATTAATAAAAGCGTGCAAGTACTAGCATTTGCAGATGATGACATAATCGCAAGATCAAGAAGAGAAATGATAGAAGCATTCACTCAAATAGAACGAGCTGCAAAAAATAGTGGTCTTAAAATCAATCAGACAAAAACAAAATATATGCCTGCAAATAAAAACGCACAAATAAGGCAGCTGCCAAATTTAACAATAGGAGAATACAACATTGAGGCGGTAAAAAACTTTACATACTTAGGATCCCTAGTTACGTCTGATAACAACGTTGCAGAGGAAGTGAAGAGGAGAATATTTATTGCCAATAAATGTTACCATGGCTTAATTAGGCAACTAAGATCAGATAACGTCTCCAGAAAAACAAAATGCCAAATATACAAAACCTTAATAAGACCGGTACTCACATACGGTTCAGAAACCTGGACACTATCTAAAAGGGAGGAAACGTTATTAGCCACCTTTGAAAGAAAAATCTTGCGACACATATATAAGGGCACAAAAGAAAACGGGATTTGGCGGAGAAGGTATAACTTTGAACTATACAACATATACCAGGATCCGGATATCATAACATTCATTAAAATAGGAAGGCTACGTTGGATTGGACATGTGGAAAGAATGGAAGAAGGCGAAATACCAAACAAAATATTCAAACAAGTGCCAGTAGGAAAAAGAACAAGAGGAAGACCGAAGCTGAGATACGTAGAACAAATAGAAAATGATATAGCAACATTAAAAATTAAAAACTGAAAAAAAAGCACGAAACAGGTCAGAATGGAGAAGAATCCTTGAACAGGCCAAGACCCAAAAAGGGTTGTCGAGCCAGTGATGATGATGATGATTGTTATGTTTGCATGCCAATGTAGCGGTATCTTATATTTTTTTCTAATATTTTATTAGATATGATAATGATTGAGCTAGTTCAGGAAGCTAAACGTTTATTCCACAAGCTATCCATTGTGTCTTTATATTATTATATTTTCTGGATTAGCTTTATACTTTTTCTTCTTCTTCTTTATTATTAGCCATGTTTGGTGTATTGCAGTTTGCTATGGTCTCTGTCAAGTCTGGATCAGAAAAATCTTTGAAGTATATCTCTCATGTTTTCAGGTGTCTTATGTTTAGATGTACTACTCGTTTGCTGCATTTTTGTGCTTTTAATTAAATTTAATTTATTAATTATGAAAATATATTACAGGTGTGACATTATTCGAAATTCATGCACCTCTGATGATGCTTCTAACAAGAGACCTAGCAAATCAATCGTTATCTAAAGCCCAACTGAAGAAACGTTTGAAGGAAGTCTTCAAATACCTTACGGAGGCCCATATTATACTTCAATATGAACCAGAAAGTTCTCCAGAAGGAATTATGGGAAAAGCAGCTGCTGACGCTCTAGTTCAAATTAAGGATTGGCAGAAAATTGTCGGAAAGTTTTAGAATGAATGAAACTGTGTGATTGATTTTAATGGACCAAGAGGTGTAATATATTTCATTTTGTTTACTTTTGTTTGCTGTTTAAAATGTATGTTAAATTTAAAGTGTATGTTAATATATTTTTAGAGTTTTTGCTAGTACTTATTATTTTACTCATGAAAGACTCCCTAGATATAGCCAGAAAAACTAAATACTAAAAATGAAAAATCTTAAAAATTTTTAAGCGATGAAAGATATTTAAACTAAAAGATATACCTATATAAAAAAAATATAGACACCTAAGAATACTTAAAGTCAAAGTACCTGTCTATCAAAACACAACTACGACTAGTAAGACCTATTACTAAGCCAGCGCACAAGCCTTGAGTTTCTTGTTCTATAAAACTGTAGAAAAGCAGCTAAAGGTATAGGAGAATGAAATTTCAAGGAATATTTTAAAAATGAAAAAGATCAAATTTAGAATGAAGAGAAAGTCTAGGAGCAGTACCAACTGATGCCAAAATAAGAGAGCATAGGTTGAGATGGTTTGATCATTTTCAACGTCGGTAGTTAATCATCCCATACAAAGAATTGCTGATCTGCCGGTTCCTGGGACGAGTGGGAGGAGAAGGCCAAAGAAGACCTGGGGGCAGACGCTTAGGCGGGATATGTCGCTAAATAGGATTGATATTGGTATGGTCCAAGATAGAAACATGAAGAAACGCAATTAGGAAAGCCGACTCCACATAGGGATAAAGGCAACGAGAATGATGAGAAGAATTATGATTTTGAGAATGAAAAAGGATGTGGAATGTTGGATAAAAAGAAAAAACTAAGTAGTCTACGGTCAAAAGTTAAATGTTATGAAGGTGCCATGAACGATATAATTGTGGTATAATAAACCAATTGCAGAAGAAAAAATTAGCGATAATGCTTTACACAGGAAGAAACGGAAATACGAAAGACCAGATGATTAAAAAAGGTGAAAAAAGATCGGAGTAAAATAGACATTTTGAACTGAAGAAAAGAAAAAAATCCAGGCAATAAAACGCTGAAAAACTTTTTTTACTCAAAATTTATTAGTAAGTAGAAATTTTTAACTGGAGAAAAGAAGAATAACGAAGAAGACGAAAGGTATTGCGAAGTGAATTAATGAAAAATATGGAAGAAAAAAGATTAAAAAATGAAAAATTTAAAAATCCGTCTGGTTCGTCATTGGATGGATTTAGGAGTTCAAGAGTGATGTTGCTTGTTATAGCACGGATGAAGGATAAAGGTTTAGCGAGTACGATATTTCTAACGATAACGTTAACTTAGTGTAAACTATCTTCTACTTCATGTGCCATCTTCGCTACGAAGGTTGGTTATTATCATGGTAACCCTGATCTTGGAGGATGCTGTTCAGAAAAGTTAAATAAAACTGCAAACGAACCATTTTATGAGGTTTCTCAACCAAGACATTCTTCTCGTTTCTATGCTGCGCTTACCTTCAATCCTTGCTGAATGCATCCCTGCATAATCAGTTGTAACAGTTGATATGCATGTCCCAGGCATTAAAGTCTTCTCGTTTTAATAGTCAATACGACCTCTTTTTGTTATCCTGTCCAGTAATAATTGATTAGTTATTTTGTCCTTCCAGGAGTTTTCAACATCCTATGATATACCTACATCTCAAATTTCTCCACTGGCGCATTGCTTATTTAGCGTCCAGGCCTCTACATCATACAACAAGACTGAGAAAATATAACATTTAAGCATAAGTACTTTTAATTTTAAGCTCTCTCTATTCTTCTTTAACTATTATTCGTATTTTTCGAATGTATTCATTTGACTCGTTAATATTTGCTCCTAAATAGGAAATTGTAATTTTGTACTCGATCTATGCGTTCGTGTCTTATATATTATTGAATATTATTGACGCTTCTTTGTATTATTATAAATTTGGTTTTCTTTGCATTCGGTGATGGTCTAAATTCTTCGCTTACTTCTACTACTTTACTCTGTAATCTCTGCAAGACGTGGATATTTTCTGCAATGAACGCGGTATCATCAGAGTATCGGAAATTACAAATGAGATGGCCGTTGATTTTTATTCAGGCTGTTCTGTTCTCAAGAACTTTTTTAATTACATTTTCCGAGTGGACGTTGAACAAGGTTGAAGACAACATACAGTCCTGCCGAACGTCTTTTGAGTTTTAGTTTATGTGATCCAGAGCTATGTATTCCCACTGTAGCTTTTTTTAAAAGCAAAGGTTGTTTATTATTTAGATGTCTGTTGTATCAATGTTTTTATTTTTAAGTAACTGCATCAATGTATCTAGAAACATATAAAATATGTCTTGATTTACGTCTAAGCATCCTTGTGTTAAGACATTAAAAGCAAATAATGCATCTCTGGTTCCTAGTTAGTTCCTTATTATGTTTATTAATAGCCATATTGTTATGTCGAGTAAGCTTATTAAAAATTATTTAAAAAATCTGTTGGTGATTGGCCATTTTCAAAATGTCTAAAATTGTTTAAAGTGATCCACCACAATACATATAGTACAAAATAACGTAGATCATAAAAATACAGAAATGATTATTATAGACGAGGACACCAAAGACATGTATAGAAAATGTATACAAATCAAGTGATAATTAGACAAGGGTAATAATTTTTATTCTTCATTAGATACCGATGCATATTATGTATTCGTACAGAATCGTTTTCTAAACATTGGCGAGCCCATTTAAATATTTGATTCTATTCACAGCAGCTCGAGATAGATCACTTAACGTTATACCAGTTTATCTCGCACAGAATCTTCTTCTAAACATTGGCGACCACCTTGACCCATCATCTTATTCTATTCACAGTAGCTCGAAATAGATCGGTTGACCAGTCCATTTCCTAAGATTGACCAGGATTTATGTCTGCGTCCAGAGCCTCTCTTGCCTTCTATAATCAACTGTAGAAGTCGGTATTTATTATTACGCATAATGTGGTCGAAGTAAGCCAGTTTTCTTTTCTTTATGGTGTTTTTTATGAATTTATGAATTTTTTGTCTTCTCTTACCCTCTGGACAATAGTTATGTTCGTTCTGTGGTATATATAAGAGACCCTTAACATACGACACTAGCACCACATGTAATATCCTGGTAAACCTGCCAGTGTATAAGGATGAATAAATAAGTATGTTTTATTCCAGGCCGTTTATTGTGATACTTTATCTGACACCCTCATGTTGACTGCCCTAACATGACAGGTGATATCACCACGAGGCTCCTGTCATGTTGGTTGCCTAACAATGGCATCACATATATTACATCCTCCCTCTTATAGATCTAAGCGTTCAGGGGGTTTTACAGAGCGACCCGACCTAGTAGTTTTAAGCGATGGTTCATAGACTGGCTCCACAAGAGGCAATCCATGAACACTATCTCTTTGGTTTCTACAGGACTCTCTTTGCTCAGTGGGCAAGATATTCACTTCACACTGGGGCAGGTCACTTGAATCAGGATTGAACAGACTACATTGTATATTATCATATCCAGAAGCTGTTTTGAACACATTTAATGATTCTCTTAAATCTACTCTATTGCGTCTGACTGTGTCTCCATTTTCATTTAAAACCATATAAGACCTTGGTGTCCCATGTTGGCTAACTATTTGACCTGGTTCCCACTTCTTCTGAACATGATTGTATACTTAAACATCAGTATTATTTTTTAACGGTGGTAATTCTTTGGCACTTCTATTATAATACTTATTATATGTATTGCGCCTATGTTGCAGCTTCTCAAGCACATTTTCACATAACTTAGGTTGCAATAACTCTGAACTAATAGGTATTTTAGTTTTACAAATCCGGCTCATTAACAATTGAGACGGGGAGTAACCAATATGCTTGAGAGGTATATTACGGTATTGCAGCAATGAGATTTCAATATCACCTTCTTTTACTGATATCTTAATTATATTTTTTGCTATTCCTACTCCTTTCTTAGCGAGGCCATTGGAGCGTGGATAATTCGGGCTTCTAGTGATGATTTTGAAATTCCATTCCCTCGCAAAATTTTTACAATACAAACTATCAAATGGTATATTATCACATGTTATACAATCTGGTGAACCAAACACAGAGAACACTCTTCCTAATACCCCAATAACAGCTTTGGAAGATTTATTCTTTATCAAATGCAGATCCAACCAATTTGAAAATGAATCAAATATAACTAGGTAGCTATGTCCAGCATATGTAAAAATATCTAGGCCTAGGCGTTCCCAAGAGCGCTCAGCAATTGGGTACAGTTGCAGAGTTTCCTTCTGTTGCTTGTGTGCATTCGACTCACATGTTCTGCATGCATTGATGTGATGTTCAATATCAGAATTAATACCTGGCCAATATAATATCTGTCTCGCACGAGCTTTGCTTTTTTCAATGCCAATGTGACCCTCATGCAGCAATTTCAACATTTCTAAACGCAGTGACTGGGGCACTATGACTTTATCAGACATCAATAATAGTCCATCTATAAAGATAAGGCTCTCTTTCACTTTGAAATAATGTCGTATCGACTCTGGTACTTCCTGTTTGCTCTCTGGCCATCCATTAATGCAGAACTCAATTACTGCTTTTAGATGTTCATCTTTCTGTGTCTCATTTGCAAACTGTACTTTCCTTTCTTCAGACATGGGTATATTTTTGACTACTGCATACACCGCATATTCAAATTCATTGTCATTTTTGAATCCTTTTTCTGAGAGGAATGCACGAGAAAGTGTGTCCGCAATATATAAATATTTTCCAGGTCTGTATGAGACCATTAAATCATAGTGAAGCAATCTTAAACGCATTCTTTGTAATCTTGGAGATATCCGTGCTAAATCCTTTTTAAATATGACTTCTAGTGGTTTGTGATCAGAGTGAACTTTGACCTTCTGTCCGTATACAAAATAATGAAATTTTTGAATGGCAAAGACAATCGCTAGCATTTCTTTTTCAATTTGAGCATATTTTTTGCTCTGTTTTAGATAAGCTTCTAGATGCAAATGCCACTGGATGCCCATCTTGCAACAAACATGCACCCAGTCCATCCTTTGAAGCATCAGTTTCAACTTCAATTTCTTTTTTAGAATTAAAATATCTCAGTACTGGTGATGTCGTCAA